AGTAACAGAGTAACCGAGAACAATCATTAAGAGTAACAGAGTAACCGAGAACAATCATTAAGAGTAACAGAGTAACCGAGAACAATCATTAAGAGTAACAGAGTAACCGAGAACAATTATTAAGAGTAATAGAGTAACCGAGAACAATTATTAAGAGTAATGTCTCAACGAAATATTATTATTATTTTACATCCAGTAAATGATCTTACTACACAAATAAAATCACTGTTATACATTTTGAAAGTGGATTAATAATCTTTTTACATAAGTAAAAAATATTCTTATACAGTTACTATATAAATAACTAGTTTTGATATACAAAATTAAGGTAAGGAACGTTACTGCATCAAATACAATTCAGTAGTCTTATTCGGAGCTAACAGCATGGTAAAATTTTCTTTGATTATATTGCTATCACTTTCATAAGATTAAGTCTGAAAGTTGAGCATTCGGAGTTTCCAACTGCTTTGTTTATCAGTTTGTTTTTAACTCTGGTATTCAGTTTAACTGTTGCTAACTTAGATTATTGAAGAGATATGGTGTAATGCTGTACTGTATTTTTAATTAAGTCTCATTGATTAATTACATGAAAAAATAATTAGAGACGCACCAACTATTATACTGGTACCGGCATCAATTGTGGCATTATCGACAACTATCGGTATTGGCGATTCCAACTACCACAGAAACCGATTACAAACGTATGCTGTCATGAAAAATGGATTAATTTATTATAAACTGATATTAACTGACAGCCAGTTGAAAGTATCATCTACAAATATTATCGACATAAAAGTGGTATCAGTCGATCTTTAAAATTACCTCAAACTGATATTATGACATCACAAGCACCATATACTATGATTTATGTTGATTTCAATCTTAATGACAGCACGAACCAATCTCCGTGGTTTAATCTTCGTTTGATTATCTGAAACAATGTTTTGACCTCTGTGCTAAAGCCTTAATCGAGTCAATTGGTTGAGTGCCTTAGTACAGAGACCAAACTTTTGTGGCATGTTAGACTCGATACAAAATTAAACATCAGTTACTTACTCTTCCTTTATATATACCTACCATAAAACTAGGCTGCCCTCTTTTATATATGTCAATTCAGGTACTATCATTCAACAGATAAGGTTTCTTTTGTTAATATAGGTAAATTCCAATCTCATTCAACTGCATATTTTAAAATAATAATACAGTTCACACACAAATACTTATCAAAATATTTGTAAGATCAAGTTAATAATAGTTAAAATTACTTCTAAAACCAATGAGAATAATTAACTAACTTAACCTTTTAACTGCCTCGATCTCTAGTGCTTTATATACAACACATTATCATACACTACTCCCCACACTGACGGGACGACAGTACATGCTTATATTATGGATGAAACACTGAAAGTGAGGGAAGGTTAAAACATGTTAAACAAGGTTCAATGAGATGGATTTGGTCATGGTCGGCCAATTTCATGATCTCCAAATTCACCAGACATCAATATACCATTTTTTTGTTTGGGGGTATGTTAAGGGTATCATGTATTGCACACATATAGCAAACATCACAAAGCTAAAGATCAGGATAATGGATGCTATTGCCACTGTAACTGTGAACACGTTGCAGCAAATATCGGTTAGACGTGCTGAGAGCCACTACTGTGGCACATGGAAAAGTTTACAGTATTTCAATAAAAACTGTTTGAGTTGGGCTACAAGATGTTGAAAACTGCATGGTTGTATTCCTTTAGTTATTTAATTATTAAGTATTAAAATAGCAAAGATAATTTTGGACAACCCTGTATATATATACAAAGCTATTATTGAAAAACATTCTGAGTACAAACTTTAATATAATAATTTTTCCTAGCTATAAGTTCAATCAAATTTATACAAGTAAAGAAATATTTCTGAAAATCAAGCAAGAAATGGACCTAAATCCCAGAGTGTTTGTGAACTCACTGGAAAAATGATAATTTCTAAATTACAAAAGTTGAGTTATATTTGATGTTTACAATTTTCTTGGCAATGTTTTAGATTGATGAATAAAAAAAGATACATGTATAAAAAACAAACAAAAAGTCTACTAGATTCTTGTGAACCAATTTAATAAAACTGGTTGACAACTCCAACATTCTTATTTCATGTATATTTAGTGGAATCCAAAATCAGAACTATTAAATGATAACATAAATAACTTTGTACCTGAGACTTGTTAGCATGAGATGCTAAAGAAAAAGAACAGAAATTACCTAATTGTAGATCAAAATTGCATTCAACAACTGCCCAGTGAAGGTCCATCTTGGTGTGATTTTTTTCGACCAACAGTCGACATACGTGTGCTACATTCATTCTCTCATCAACCAAAAGGCTTTTCGTACAGCCATCATCTGTGTAGACTCTGATAAATATCTATAATGAAAGAGAAATATTTTATATTTAATTATACCAGACAGACAACCAGTGTATGTTAAAGCATAAAGTATGTATCTTTTTTTCACACATACACAAACTTAATGATTTTTGTTGTAAACAGGTTAGTTCATATTTCATGTCAAACTTACAGAAAGGTTTTTCACTTAGAAAATTAAAAAAAATGTAAGCTACATGATATATTGTTACATACCTTGTAAAACCTACTGTTTTTCCAATATTATAAAACAGGTAGACATGGGTTCTAACAGGATATGAAGTGTCCCTACAGTATAAAACAGGTACGACATGGGTTCTAACAGAATATACGGTGTCCCAACAGTATAAAACAGGTAGACATGGGTTCTAACACAGGTACGACATGGGTTCTAACAGATCCACGAGACAAAAATCTGTGGGGAACTGCAGATCCTCATGAAATTCTCAACCCTGATATATGTTACGATAGCGGAAGTCACATGATGCTAGTAACATGTGATGAATATCTAGAAGATTCACGAAGAGATGAGGGTAATCTGGATGTACGTTTTTAGAGTATATAAGCTAGCAAGAATAGAATTGCAGACAGACAGAGACGGACAATCGAGTCAAGCGCGGTAATGACCGTAAGTAAAGTGCATGAATCGTTGTGATTTATAGCGTGTGTTTAAGTTAAAGTGACTGTGGAAATTAAGTGTATTGCAAAGTTGTATTGAGAAAGAATAAACTAGTTTTATTTAAGAAAGGACTTGTGTCACCAAAGTTTCATGGGAAAGAAATTATACGGGAAATTAACAAACGACCAGAGACGTAACAATTAGTAGACTCATTTCATTAAACACAATACTATACTCACACCTATGGTTACATTACTATCACTAACCTTTTTAGTGTCGGATTCTTGTATTTTTTCCATGGCAAGTTTGATTTTATCAGATTTCATTCGAGCCTGGTCATCCTACATTCATAATGTTAACGGATTAATACATTCCTCTCTTAAACTATGTTCAGTACATGCATACTTTGATAAGTTATTCTTTATAGTGTTAGCTTTTCTTAGTGATTTTATGGTTTGTTTATTGATCTTATTGATGTTGTAATAATGTGACACTTGTATAATCTAAACTTTTTTCAAAGATTGTAGCTTTTAAAATCATACAACTAAATGACAAAGAATGTTTACTTAAAATGTAGTAATAAATTATCTTATTTTTTCAATTTAACTGGTGTTTTTAACACAAGTTCTTCAAGTTCAAGGTAATTTTTACAATACAACTCGGAAATATTACAGGTTAACAGTGAACTCCCGTTCTGCAGTTTATGACACAAATTACAAAATATTTTCACAGCAAAAAAACTTGTTTTTGTAGAATGAACTTTATTTGTTACAGGTATTCTTTTGCCACTTTTGGACAAAGCTATTGGTCATTTGAAGTTGATATATCGAAACGTTGCTACATATGAACTATCAATAACACTAAACTTGAATAAAATATATTAAAACATTTATTTGATGACTAGAAAAGCAAAAACAATATGAAAATTCGGAGGATAAAATGTTAGTAAGAAGTTTTTTTTGTTATATTTAAGATACATGTTGTCTTTCTTCTAGGTATCAAAAATTCTGTGTTAACATGTTGAATTTCATTGATGCTGCTATGACAATTATAGTAATATTTCTTTAACAGATCTACATTACTGAGAGAGAAATACTGATATGTATTTACATGCTAAATAAATTTCCCACAAATGTCTTAATTACACAAACTAGGTTATATAGCCACTGCGTTTATTTACCTTGGACGACGGTGGAGTGTGTGGTGCATGACTTAGCCGTCCATATACATTCTGACTAGACACGTCACTCCTGTTTGCTCCACCTCCTGAAGAGGCAGATGATTCTGAAGACAGCATGGACACGTTATCCGAGAAAGCCGAATCATTATCCGGACTATCAGTTCTAAGCCCGATCTCATGTTTTTGGGTACGCCCTCCTTCATCTTTTTCCTGAGGCCCTCCAATATCATATTTTGTTTTACGTGGGGAATCACGTCCAGAGAGTTGAGATATTTGTTGGGCAGCTCCCTGAACTTCTGGACTTGCTCCCGATAACCTCAAACCATCCCCATCTCCTGACACACTTCTGGCATGTCCTCTGTACATTTCTCTATCAAAGCGAGACCCTAGAGCACAAAGTTCCCCTAATATTGCATCAAGTTCTACATCTTGACTGGCTAGAAGATGAAAAAACACAGAAGCTTACATTTTGGTAAATGGTAATGAAAGCCCAATCAAGTTCTACATCTTGACTGGCTACAAGATGAAAAAAACACAGAAGCTTACATTTTGGTAAATGGTAATGAAAGCCCAATCAAGTTCTACATCTTGACTGGCTAAAAGATGAAAAAAACACAGAAGCTTACATTTTGGTAAATGGTAATGAAAGCCCAATCAAGTTCTACATCTTGACTGGCTAGAAGATGAAAAAAACACAGAAGCTTACATTTTGGTAAATGGTAATGAAAGCCCAATCAAGTTCT